AATGCCAGCAAACAAAACACCCACAATCAGTCACAGTGCCAAATATTACCTCTTATAGTCATTAGTACCAAATACCAAGTGTGTTGTAACATGTTATGAGCATGGATGTTTTCATCCATTTAGTATTTTTACCTGTCACTGGTCCCCAGATGCATTCAACTAATGTTTTAACATTATCTACCAGTCAGTTAAAGATCATCAAAGAATTCATGTTCATTTTAGCAGGCCACAAGTTTTTTTTTTTTAACTGGAGACTTTTGAGAAAGGCAAAAGGATTAAAGGTAGAAAGAATAAATACTGATGTAAAAACTGCCAATTTAATATCATAAGCTGTTAAAGGTTACAATCACTCTTGGTTGATTTTTCTATTAAGATCTCAAGGTATTGAGAAAGTTAGCAGCAGGGTTAGATGCTGTGTATTGGCGATTCTTTCAGCTTGAGCAAAGTGGAATAGAAAGACAGCATTCACTCTGACAGACAATTCTTGGGCATGAAGCAACTGAGGGCTCTGATATTTGTCTGGAGAGAAGGGGGTGACATTGATGAAGATCACCTTCCCACAAAGATCATCTTACTAGGAAACCAGATGGTTATGTTGAAAAGTATCTTCGATCAGACAAGGCCTTTCCAAAAGTGCCTTCAGTCAGATTCTGCAATCAGACATTTTAGTAAGAATCAATGTAAATTGGGGAAATAGCTCACTAAATAGATACTTCCATAATCCTGCAGAATTTTGGTAAACATTAATCATCACCACAACTTCTTTGAGGATGAAAAGTGGGAGAGGGAAAATTCAGTTGTACTGCATTTACTAAATCTTACTTGGCTTACAGTCCTACTGATGCTTTCCTTATAAATATTTTATAGGTTCTGATTAATATTTTTGAACCAAACCTCTTCCATCAGATTCCAATCTGGTCAATTAATCTTCAATTTCACCACCCCTCGATTATAATTCTTAGCTTTCGATACCTCATGTCACAAGACAACATTGATTGAGTCATAACAATGCATGCAGAGCCACTGCTGTAAACCCCAACAAAACTTTTGCTCTCAGTGAAATGAGATTGGTCTCAAGTTCTGGGTGAAAGTTACACTGACTTGCCCCAGGGTTTCCACAGATCTGTGTAAAAAAGATTCCAGGACCATATTAAGAATTTAAGGACTGAAACTGACATGCACGCACAAACACACAAAGTGAATGGTCATAAATTTCCAAAACTAAAATATTCAAAGAAAAGATAGTTGGCTCCACTAATTCATATCACATGAATCAGTTGAAAGCAGTGAAGAAATCAAAGTGTTAAAGGCTAAAACACAACTGAATGCAGACCTGGTTATGTTACATTTTGTGTAGCATTTTACAGTTTGGAGTTTTATACTTGGGAATTTTTAATTACACATTTTAATTGTTACTGCTACACATTTCAGCTATCTATACACCTCATGGTTTGTGAATGTCACAAAAATTCTTGACTGCTACACATTTCTTGTGATGTTAAGTATAATGGTTTTAATGAACAGAACTACAAATAGAAAAGACTACACATTTTAGCTAACCCTACTAATGGCTTTTGTTGCACATGGCACACAAAGCAATGATAACATTTTTTTCAGTTCATCTAGTTTAACATTCAGCTTCTCTTCCACTTTTGATATATCCATATAATTGTACTTTGCAGATCATCACATGGTATTGGACTTTGCGATAAGTCTAAAGTTCCGAGTTTGTTCAGCTTTCTCAAGTTGACTTGAGAAAATCTTGAATGCAAATTTTGAGCCCATTTTGTTCTTCAATTTCAATAAGAGTGGACTTCCATTTTTGTCCAGCTGCTTCTTCCTACCTTTTTCTCTTCTCAGCCTCAAGGTATTGGTTATATGCTGTTCTGGCATTGGAAGCATTGCAAAGAGCCTTATTCATGGGAACATTTCCGGCACCTTGAATTGTGGGCAAATAGTCCATGATAATGTGCTGTGCAAGTCTGCCGTTTCATAGTCAGTGGAAATTTCCTTATTGACTGAGAAACCTCTCTCAACTGAGGCCTGTCCATGAGCGAGTACCAGCAATCTGAACTTTCCAGTTGATATTCTTTGTTACTAGACAAAGATTAGAACAAAGTGTCCAGATGCTTTTCATGTTTGCTGAAATTTGTGGAAGCAGTATTTCCAGCAACCTCTTCCTCAAACTCTTTGTACAGAATGATGAGGTCATCAGATACTGACCTGTCTTTCCCCATGGGATGGACAGAAAACATCTTTTTAGACTGTCTTCAGCAGATTTTTTTTCAACAAATGGATCCAGGGTTCAGTCATCTAAGTGACCTTACAAGAGGATATCTAAGGGGAGACTTTGCCAGTTTGTCAATGATGGTAATGAACAGCCTTTGTTGCAATTCTGCATGCAAACAGGTCTTTTAACATTTCCTTTTTTGGATAAATTTTGCATAGCCCTATCTGCTAGAAATCCACACTTGATCTTTACAGTATCTTTGGGTTTGACAATTCTTACAAATTCAATCAGTTTAGAAAATAATTATCTTTTTAGTGTGCTTTTACATTTACAAATCTTAAATTTCAATATCATGCTAAAAAGATCATCTGCAAGGAAAGGAAGCAACAGTTTATTGTTCAGATTAAAAAAAAAAAAAAAAAAAAAAAGTTTTTTGAAACCAACACAAAAACCTACAATTTCACTGGAAATTGAATGTCAGTCATGTCTGACAGCACTGGAGAAAAGGGTTTAGGGACATTTGTTTTTTTAATGACGTACACAAATTTGATATCTGGTCAAATGTCTAATTCACATGTTTGTACATTTTCTAACCATCTATGGCAGAAATACAAAATTTGCAGGGTTGCCAGATTGAAATTTTAATATAAAGCAAAATAAGTTAATGTATTTCATTTTTTCACTTGCAAAAGCTAGAGATACAGGTCATTAGCCTGAAAACTAAAAATAACTTTTTCAGACATTTTCTATTCTATCATTTTTCCTATCTACATTTGAGTCAGATTTGATCTGAAACTTAATTTGGGACAAATTTAGACAAATGCATAAAGTATTTATTTTTTTCAGTATAAACTTACCAACTGCCAATGAGAAATCAAAAGGCCTTTACTTTTTACTATTGAAATTTGTTATGTGAATAAGAATTCTTCCATAAAAGTGATGGCTTTCAAGATTCTACTAAAATGTATTACTGTAAAATAATTTTCCTTTAAACTACAAATTGAGAGTGTGAATTAATTTATCTTTGACCAAGATGGTTACTTGTCTGACACTTCCTATTTTCTTATTGGCTGAGGGGTAGCAGCAAAGAGAATACATGCCTTCCTATTTTTTGTTTTAGATTATTTAAGTGAAGACTACTAATCATAAATGGGAAAGCTTAATACCAGTCTTCAAACACTGAAATTTTAAAAAGAATTTTGATTATGTGTGTATAAATGTGCCCATTTTTGAAAGTATGGGCATACAGAGATGACATCAGAAAATAAGAGCAATGACTATAGTAAATTTAAAAAGTCAACATTCTTACAATTATGAAGAATATTTTCCAAAACTTTGTTTTATAAAAGTTCACGTCATTTTCTTAAATTATGTTTTGCAGAAGTCTCTGTAGAACAGCATTAAATCTGCCAACACCTAAACACAGCTACTACCAGTAAAAAAAAAAAAAAAAAAAAAAACCCATCTAGTTTGCTTATATTCATTTCTGCAATATTTTAAATTTGAAGTATTTGTTTCAAATAAAATTATACTTTAAATCAGTTAATATTCCTCAAAGTTTCAGAAAAGTACATCTTATTTTTGCAAGGTATTTAAAACTGAGAACTGGTGTTTATAAATGTCTCAAAAATGATAAAAAACAAAAACAAACAAACGAAACAAACAAATCCAATGAATCTAATTTGGATGAAATTAGGGTATTTTGTTTACTGGAAATAGTAAATTTAATTCTTTAGTGTTCAACCAAAGCTAAAATGAAACCCTTTTCATTTTTTTTTTTTTTTTTTTTTTAAATGAACTTAAACTTTAGGTATTGTGATTTTACCAAAGGTACATATATAACATACAAGTTAAAATGACTCAGATTTTTCAGCTACTGTTGCTTCCTTTTGTATTTTAGCCATGAAATACTGAGATACAATGGAATGGGGGTTGAGAATGTTCCAGTCTCTGGAAGAGAGATTGAATAATTGACTATTTTCTGCTCTAGTGAACCTCTCAGCAGGTAAAGCATAAAAATTAAGAACCTTCTAGCACCGTGTTCGTGAGTTAAAAAAAAAAAAAAAGTCTTGGGTTGTAGTTATGATTGGTAATTGAGTGAAAACTGCTTAAATGCTAAATAGATCAATGAAATATAACTGGAAAGTGTTAAGTTATCACAACCTTTCAGATTAATTAGTCCTTTATTTAGTAAAACAATAAGTTGCTTGCTTATCTTACCATAAGAACACTACAAAGAATGACAACTGCCACAAGAGTGATCATTAGCATTGACCAGAAGTCTGCCATAAGGTTTTATTTTGTTAAAAGACCTAATGTAACATCTATTAATTGACTTGTATGTAAGCAATCAAATTCTAGGTTAATATTTTTATTGAAGTTACCCACACACATTTATATATATATATATATATATATATATATATATATATATATATAGAGCAAGACTACAGAATATGGGCACATTATTCAGCAATGATTTTAATTATATAAATTATTGAAACCAAAATATATATAAAGGTTTTTTTTTTTCATGTTTAGATGGGGCATGGTATGAAGTAGTGAAATTGTTTGCCACTAAAGAATAAATGACAAATGAAAAATGTTCAGAATGGAACTTTATTCAAATATACTAACGACAACATCAACAAGAATATTGTATTAATGGTGGTAATCATCAGTAATATTATTTTGAAATTATCCTGGTAGTAATAGAAGCATCATCACCTGGGCTGCTGGTAAGCTATGGCAGCAATGATAGACTAAGAATTTAACCAATTTTGTTCATGTAGAGAATCAAGTCAAGTACACGGTTGGAATAGCCCATTTCATTGTCATACCTGAGGAGAAAAGAAAGAGTGGGGGGATTTTAATACCCATTAACTTCAAACAAATGTTGGATTATACTCTATTCTTTATAAGCATAATTAAAAAGCAAACAAGAAAAGTGAAAATTCAATAAGTGTGTATGGACTTACCATGAGACAAGCTTTACAAAGTTGTCAGTAAGGCTAATGCCAGCCTTAGCATCAAAGATGCTACTGTGAGTGTCTCCAATAAAGTCAGATGAAACAACATCATCTTCAGTATAACCCAAAATACCCTTCAGGGCATTTTCAGATGCTGATTTTACTACTTCTTTGATCTTTTCGTAAGAAGCCTGAAAGAAATTATGAGAAACTAGTAAAACATGTAGTAGTAGTAATAGAAATAAATAATAAATGCACATTTAAATACTTCATTTTTAAGTTATGTTACATTCATAGCTCTTGCTAAGAAAAAGGTTTCTTTCCAGATTCCTTAAATAAATATGGTAAGCATTTATGTCATTTGTAATTCTCAGCAATTCCTTTAGACTAGAAGGTCCTACCTGATGTATTGCATTAAAAGAACCAACCACAAATTTCTGCATTTTTTTTTTCCATAGCATATGGAATCTGATAATTTTTGATCAGTTGTAGGATATTTAGTTAAACTTGCAATATGTTAACAATACAAAATTACTATTTCATTGATTCTAAATGAACATTGCCAGTAACAAAGTTGTTTGTACTAAGCAGCCAAACATTGGTTTGGAATGAAATATAGCTAGTATCTCAAGTGTAGAGTTGAAATAAAAAATTTAAGAAATTTACTTACACCTTTAGTAAGACGGCAAGTGACATCAACAACAGAGACATTAGGAGTGGGTACTCTGAAGGCCATGCCTGTCATTTTACTGGGGAAAAAAGCAAAAAAAACAAAACTACAATAAAATTACAAGAGTTGTCTAACACTGTTTGTTAATGTGTAAACAATCTTAGGATCCTGGTCACCTATAATGACAGCTTTTTCTTTCCAATAAGAGTTTGAGAGAAGAGATTTGAGAGAAATATTAAATTACAGACCTGCATAATCAGTTACAGTGGAAGACAAGCACAAGTTTATGAGTGCAGGAGGTTTCCCCCAGCACATTTAAAAATTTACTTAATAGAAGGCTTTTTGTAAGTCTATCCAGAAACTAAGTACAACCATGCCAAAATAAAGCAAAGAAAAGCTTCCAAGAGAACCTGTACTTACCCATTCAATTCAGGAATTACTTTCCCAACTGCCTTGGCAGCACCAGTGGAGCTGGGAATGATATTCTGAGCAGCTCCACGACCACCTCTCCAGTCCTGAAAATAGGACAATAGCCTAATCATGAAAATTTTAGATTAATGTTTTTAATACATTGAAAAAAAAAAAAAAAAAAAAAAAAAAAAAAAAACTTTCAATGGACTGCCATATAAACGTTTGAATTTGGATTACTAAAGTTTGAAGTGTAATCATGATAAACATGTAATTTCATGTCTTCAGCAAAGCTTGTACTTAATACAGAAGGAAGCCAGGGTCAATCACCATACCTTGCTAGATGGACCATCCACAACTTTCTGGGTAGCAGTGTAAGAGTGCACAGTAGTCATAAGGGCCTCTTCAATACCAAATTCATCATTTATCACTTTGGCAAGAGGGGCCAGGCAGTTGGTGGTGCAAGAGGCATTGCTTAAAGAAAAAAAATAAATAAACAGGCATATTAGAAAATGATTTGAAAAATAACTTTGCATGAAATGTTTTATACAGAGACAAATGGGATGAGAACATAATACAATTAGGAATTGGAGAAAATCATCTTGTTAGCATGAGTATATAAATCACATACAAAATGGTTATAGAAATACCAGCTATTAATGACCCAATAAAATTTTTTTAAATGGAATGAAAATTGGTTTACCTGACAACATTAAGGTCACTAGTGTATTTGTCATTGTTCACACCCATCACAAACATGGGAGCATCTTTGGAAGGAGCAGAAATGACAACTTTCTTGGCTCCAGACTTCAAATGAACCTGAAAAAGAAAGACTGGCTTGAGAAAACAATTGACATTTTTATGAATTTGAAGTTGTGAATTCTATACTTGTACTAGAAATACAAAGTGTGTGTAGAGAGGAGGAAAGAGACAAGTACCTAAACAATAAAAATCAAGAAGATCAAGAAATTTAAAAAACATAAAAAGGTGTTCAATTTACAAGATCAATTAGTTTGTCAAACAAAAACATTGTAATAAAAAGAAAGATAAAAAACAGTCTAAAGTTAATACAAAACTTTAGATATCAACATTAACATTTTACAATGATTTTGAAAGTAGCCAGAACTACTAACAAAATAGTCATACAAATGAATCAATAATAGCAGATTGATATTTGATTTAAGCTTTGTTCTAGCAAAATCCACAACTTTAGACACTGGTGAAAGTATTCTACACTAACCTTTCATTTGTGCAGGAAATATTCCAAACATTGATAACAATTCAGTTACTTCAACCTGGCCTATTCTATTCTTGGAATAGGCAACAATAGAAAAATTTACAAATTCCATGGTTCCAAGTACCAAACACTGAAATTTTATTTAAAGTAAAATTCAGTAGCCGAGTAATTAACTTTTAAATTTGAATTTAATTTGTTTAAATCACTTGATGCCTCTGCAAATCATCTTAAAGGAGGAGTAAGAAAACTTACAGATGCAGCTTCCAAGGTAGTGAACACACCAGTACTTTCTACAACATATTCAGCCCCAGCAGATCCCCATTTGATGTTGCCAGGATCTCTCCTTCATAAAAAGAAATTATAAAGTTAAATCAAAATAAAATCAAGCCAAATGTTTTTGGTATGGACATAAAACACCAAAATCAGCTTCAGAATAGATACAGTGGACATGCAAATGTTCCATAATATTTAGGAGGAGAAAAAACTATTACAGTGCATTAGTCTTAAACAGCAGAGACTATTACAAAAAGTTAAAGCAAACATATATAAAAATAAAAAAAATGTCAACTGAAAAGTGTAAAAACACTGATGTGGCAACATGAAAGTGTTAATGTTTTTCAACAACCAAAATTAACAATGGAGCTATGACACTGCAAACTTAATTGAATTCAAGTTTTGTTTTAGCAACCGATATCATTTTAAAACAGTTTCAATCATCTAAGTCAAGAACAACACTCCATGGCAAAGTGATTATTCAATTATTTTATTCAGTTCTACCATTTATCAAATGTTGGAAAACTATCTGTACACAATGTCAGAAAAATTATGTTGAAATCTAAGATAATGAAGGCAAGATTCTACTTACTCCTGGAATACAGTGACTGACTTGCCATTAACAATAAGGTGACTGTCATCTTTGCTCACAGTGCCCTTGAATTTACCATGGGTGCTGTCATATTTCAGCATGTAAACCTGAAATAGTGAGAAAATGAACAGCTGTTGAAGTGGGAGTAAATAAAAAAAAAAAAAAAAAAAAAAAATCCATCACGTGTTACCAATGAAATGCTTATACAAACAAGAGAAATAATTTGAACTATTACTGAGGATAATCATTTTATCAGTGACTATTCTATTGAGAACAATGACTGTACAGAAAGATTCCTGAATAGAATGTTTTTCACTGAAATTATTTCCTGAAAGCAAATTCTACTTGACAGAATTTCTATTTTAAAACATTTTGTAGTAAAGTAGTAAATATTTAAGTGTGTGCAAGAGCTTCAGACAGTTATTACACCATTTCTTAACCAGTTATATTTCATCAGTATCAAATTTGTATTTTGGGGGTGGGGGAATCTCAATCTTTCTATGCAAATGTCCAGAATTAAAATTACATTACAAGTTAAATATAGTTCTAAGAAACTTAACAGCCTATTACAGAATGCAAGTATTGAATAGTTTTGAACAAGTCAAGAAATTCCTTTAGTTAATTTAGTCATAAGAGGAGATAAATAAACAGAAAAAGCTCACCATATACTCAAGATTAATGAAAGGATCATTGATGGCCACAATCTCAACACCCTTTTCTATGGCAGCCCTAAACACAATACGCCCAATACGGCCAAATCTGAGGAGGAAAAAAAGGTATTAGATTCATTAGTTGTAAAAAAAACTGATAGAAATCAATCTAGAGTATTTATAGATACAGTGCAAACCTTAAAAATGGATGGTTTTCAAAATCTCCACTTCATTCTCAGAGAAGTGTGCAACTGTGCCTACACAGACAGACACACACAAAGAAAAAAAAAAAGAAAAGAAAAAAAAAAAGTAAATATCAGGAGTAAATGAAATTTCATGAAAAGAATAAAGACTTACCCATTGATTCCTACTTTTGGTGACATGCTTTTCTGAAAATAAAAGAAAAAAAGACTTATAAGACTGTCATAGAAAATTCTAAGTTAGTTGTCAACCATTTACTTGATCATACAAGATTAAAAGATCTTATAAAAATGTGTCCACCCCCATAAACCTACACATGCAAAGAACAGGCTTTAAGTTAAAAACACAAATATCTACCTTTAATATTCTGAGAAAAGAGAAATTAGAAATATTAATTTTACAACTGTGAAGGATTCTAAATCAAAGTCTAATTTGTAAAATTCTTCAAAGACAAAGCTACAAAAAAAAAAAAAAATTTCCACATACTGGAATAGCCAAATAAAAATTAATCTTTCAAAAACAAACTAAACTAACAAATATCACATTTGCAATACCACCAAAGAGCTGGGAGTAGTGATCAAGGTTACTTCAATTGAAGTTTATAGATAATAGGTAGAAAATTGTGCCAGGCCTTGAAAAGAGCTACCAAACTAATGCATATTTATCAGTTTGCTGATATGTCAATTTTGAGTACTTATCAAAAGTTAAATTCTAGTTTATGCAGCAACTAGATATAAAAATCTATCTATCTCTCTCTCTATATATATATATATATATATATATATATATATATATATATATATATATATATATATATATCCTCCAGCTATGGGTTAAATAACAGGACAGACTGGGTTCTATAGTCTTGGATGGCAACTGGTCTAGGAGAAGGACAACTGAATCCAACCTGAGGGGGGTTGTTTTGGGGCCTTGTGGCACAGTGCACCAAGTCTCTGTATTCGGCTGTCAGTTTCCTGGAAACTGATCTGCTTGACCCTCACACATTGAACCCAACGGGAGAATGAATGAAAAATATATATATATATATATATATATATATATATATATATATATATATATATAAATAAATAAATACTTTCATAAAATAAAACATTATAATTTTTAATTTGAAACTTTTTTTTATATATATATATATATATATATATATATATATATATACTTTTATATTTAAGCTCCAAGTAACATTGTCTTCCATCTTAAAAGCTTAAATTAAAAACAGATATCAAATGTTCACATTACAGAAATTAGAAAATATATAAAAAAATTTTGGCACATTTTCAATTGAATTGGATTTTCTAGATGTTCATTCTACAACAAGGTAAACCTTCAATTTTCACATCATCCATAATCAATAAGGTATTTGGGACATTTTTTTTTTTTTGCAAACATCTATAAAGCTTATCAGTTATAAAAAAAAAAAAAAAAAAAAGAAGAAAAAAAGGTAACCTATAGGTAATCTCATTTAAGCAATTTAACCTTCAAGACAAAAGTCAAATTCAGTAATCTTAAACTGATAATTTATGAAACAAACAAGTTGCTGCTGCTCCTCCACATATTTAGGTTATGTTTCAATTAAAGTGTTCAGTTTTTACTCATAGAAAGTAAAATTCTACATCCCCTTATATATCTAGGATCTCAAACTCAAAAAGCAAAGTAAAAATTACAGTTGGATTTAATTTATACAAACAGCATCAGTGGGGTATTTGCATTACAAGAGATCAAGGAAGGACAAAATCCCATTCATAATTAAAAACCATAAGAAAATTGGTTTATATCAAAATTGAAAGTATAAACTGAAGACTCACATTGCATGTTAATTCAGGAATCAGATAAACTTTAAAATAAACTAGAGCAGTTAGAACATGAAAGGCTCTGTATAACTTTTACAAGATACTAAAATGTACAAACAACTCATTAAAACTTTTAAAAAAAATTAGAAACTGGAATAAGTAGACAATCACAATGTACATTGAATAAGAATAACCTTAATCCCTCAACATAATATATCTTGCATAGGTACCTTCAGGAGATCGCTAAAAACAGAGCATAGCTGGAGGAAAAAGACGCCAAACTTGACGAAAACAAAATTTTATCGCCTAAATGTTTATTATTAAGAGGAAAGATCAAAATATTTTGGGGGTATTTTTAAAAAAAAAAAAAAAAAAAAAAAAAAAAAAAAAAAAAATCGCTCCTAGCACGTCTGAAATTTGTTAAAAATCTTTTTTTTTTTGAGTCAGCAAAATTGATCATTTTTTTCCATTTTATAAAACTTCAAATCTCACTTTGAAATTCTTTTAAATATCAATTATTTTTTCAAGACTTATTTTAAGAAAATAAGAAATTATTTAAAATATTTTGAACAAAGCTTAACTTAGCTTCTGCATCGAAAAGATGTAATTTGAAAATAAAACAAAGCAGGTCAAACTTTCGCATCACTTGACAGGTGATGAATGACATTGACGGATTCTGTGAGGCTAATTTGTTCTACGGAAGGAGAAAAGTGAAATAATTTACATTTTAAGTGAACAAGTTTTTTACCTTGTTATTTTTAAGGAAAACTTTCAGCGCTCTAAATTTTTTTTGTACTTAGCTTTTGTCTTTATGTTTACGATGCTTTATGGAAAATATATTATAAAGAAATTAAAATGAGACTTAGAGCGAGATTAAATTTCATATTTCATAAAGTATCTAATTTATAGGTACCTTATAAAATTTTATCAGAAGTGTACATAAAATATTATAATTTTATGTACATTTATTACATTTGACTGTGTTATTTTTATTTCCATTTATCTTATTACTTTTGATATTTCATAACTGATTAATATAAAAATAAGATCATATAAATTTCATAAGATGATGACTTATAGGTACCCTTCTCAGTTGAAAAGTCAAATTAACTTCTCCACACGTGTTTCGCAAAAATAAATCTATATCTCAAAAGAACATTTACAAAACTGAATGCGGCTTTTAACTAATTTTATAGTATTTTAACAATTTAAATGTAAAAAATCTATTATAATTAAAGAAATAACAATTTTATTAAAAATTCAGTATTTAAGTTAAATACTAGACAAACTCAATCCACGTGACTTTTTTATTGCACGCATGATACTTCCAGTGTTCTGTAGATTTGATTTACAGTGGTGTTATTGACACAAATTATATTTTTTTATATACTGTTGTTCATTAGTTTGTAAAAAGCTTTGGAAATTATAATCTATAAATATATATATCTACTTAATAACATTCATTAAATTTTACAAATTTCCCCTAATTTTAGAATTAACATTTAATGTAAAAATAATAAAATATTTCAGAAATAACAAATAATTGTTTTAAAAATTCATTTTTCATCGAAATATCTTTTTACTTTCAAACAATATTGCCAATGTTCATTGAAATAAATAAAAGCAATTAAGTTTTTGAAATTAAATATTTTTGTTTTGAGTTTTGTATGTTACAATTCAGAGATGATTTTCAGGTAGAGGGGGTCCAACTAAAAAAAAAAAAAAAAAAAAAAAAAATGATTTGGTTTCCTCAAAACCTTGTGCTTTTAACCAATATAATCACTAATCTTCCCAAAACTGAAATTATAGAGTTTTCATACAATATTAGTTAGGAGGGGTTAATACATATGAAGAAAAAAAAAAAAAAAAAAAAAAAAAACATTTATAATAAGTTTCATCATTTGTGAATAGTTTCTGAAAAGTTAAAATCAGACAATTTTTATTTTTGCAAGATTTTCCAAATTAATGTGTGTCATACAGAAAAAAAACGTGCTAAAATTTTGTTATTTTACTAGTTCTGGTGATACAAAGAATTATTTTTTTTTTTAAAAAAAAAAAAAATCAAAATTTAGATTGTTCTAAAAAGGAAAAATTTGAAAAAAAAACAAAAAAAAACAAACAAACTTTGATCTTTCCTCAATAACATAAGCATTTAGATGCTAAAACTTTGTTTTCATCAAGTTTAGTGTCTTTTTTATCCTGCTATGCTATGTTTTTAGCGATCTCATGAAGGTACCTACTTGCATTTCAGTTGATCTTGGTAAAGACATTTTATCAGATTAAATTACAATATATACATACAAACATAAGCAAATTTATCACAAACCTGAAGGATCTTTTCAATAGTTGCAATATTTTAAGGACAGCAAAAAATCACCAATGCAGAAAAATTAGTCAACACCAATTAACAAGTTCTACAAAGTAGCTTTTCTCAGGATTCCAGCAATGATATAGAAGAACTGTCATTTAGTGAAGGGCCCAAATGAATGCTTACAGTAGTTAATGTCTGAATTGAATGTTTGTAACTGACCGTTGGTTAAATAAGGGAGAGCCAGATAACAAGCAGAAAGATAAACAAAGTAATGAGACTCTCATGGACAGCAAAGAAAGTAAAAGACAAAGACATTCTGAAAGTAGACATCAGTAGACAATGGCAATAGTCTATTATTGGTCAGTCACGTAATCAAACAAACTGATCAATCTCAAACACTAGAATAAAGAAGAAGCTTATAGAGAAGTGTAAATATTAGGACATTGACCTTTAAAGCTATCACTTATAACTGAAGGTCAAATTATAACTCCTTTTAATAATACAAGCACAAAAATATCACCAGCAACATAATATAGATGTAAGAGATTCAAATAAATATCATCTTGGATAAGTAATTTACAAATTTCAGAAAAGGCTATTAAATAAAGTTAATTTCATCTGCATAAACACCAAAAATATGTTTTTCAATACGTCTTTCTTGCAAAAGAAATCTTCCATAATGAGATACTTGTAAGATCAAGGTCCTAATTGAATATTAAACTATGCAAAAATGTTTACTTTCAACAAGTTATAAGTTCCAAGGATTTTAATAATGGCTAAATTCCTTCAACATAAATACAATGACTCCTAGCCTAGCATTCCATCAGATGTCAGACTCTCCAATATTCTAAGTCTTCCATTTTTACGTCATTCCAATGGAGTTGTGGACTAAACTTTTCTCATTACATGATCAAGCAAGTCTAATTTCATTGTCTCACTCCTAGTTGTGTTTTTGATGTTCCTCCAGCCTAACTTTCATGGTTTCACCTTTGTATTCTTTGTCACAATGGCAAAGGATAAAATACAGTTCTTGGTCAGGTTTTGTATTAAGTTAGGCTCTGCAAAG